ACTTTAAGCGAGCACTTGACTTTTATTTTGTTAATTTTTGATTTAGTTTTATTTGTAACACAACATGTTGTTGTGCTAAACAATGGAGACACTGAACTGCATGTTTAAAAATAAGAATATTAATTTTACCTAATGAACATTTTAATAATCACCATCAGTGAATTTAGGGCTTTTTACTGTTTTCTGATTTAGTGATAAACTCATAACAGAAAATGACCCGGCAGCAGCCTTCACTACAATAATTACACTGTGCCAAACAATAGAGACACATAAACACAAAAAGAATCATTTTAGTCAGTTGACTAAACCGTCGCTGATTTTAAATATTTTACTTTCTAGAACACGTGTTACTAAGTTCTTGGACTTTTCAACTATTAAGGCAAAATCTTGCCGCGCACAACACAGACGTGCCGCTAAGATGTTACATGCTCCATTCCTCTCACACATCCTAACCCAACCACTCAAGAACTTCCGTCACTAACATAGTGGTAAGCTAGCGTGCAACATGCAGGTGTCTCCATAGACATATATATGTAGACACCTCGTTGAGTGGGCTGGCTCGCTGCAGCAGTACATTGGAGCATCCGCCATATTGAATGTGGCAGATCTGCTGGCCAACTAATATAAATGAAATGGAAATGGACTGAACTTCATAAAGAACCGTTCAACAAAGTGTTTGAAGTTAATGCTGTTATTCATACACACTAATATAATGTATTTGGAAAACTAACAGGCACCAAAGACAACATTTGTAACTTTTAACATGATTCAACATTTTTCAGTCAGGTCATCTGGACAGTTTATTTTTTTTGTGCTGAAATGTTTCGCCTTCCATCTGGAAGGCTTCATCAGTCAAGGAAACACACAACAAAACTGATTCTTCCCCTAACAGCTTACTCCAAAGTGGAACAAACCAGTTATGTTGGTGCCAAGATGGTCTCTTTGGCACGCCGACTCCTCTGGTGCTGGCCCTCTTCCTCTTCCTCTGGTACATGATTTTATTAAAAAATATAGGTTGTAGTCTATTAATTGTAAGGTTGGATAATATCATCTTGTTTAATTAAAACTTGATTAAAATTTTTTTAATTAACTTGCATGAAAAGAGAGGGAAGTGCTCTTCAAGCTTTTATTATGCTCACAAACCTTAATTTTCTACTTTGTTCCATTTGTTACTGTATACAGCTGCAGACCACAGTAAAAAAAATAAAAATAAACTAGGAGTGGACGATATGGCTCAAATATAATATTGTGATATTTCTGAGCATTCTGACGATAACAACAAATTTCATGATATAACAACAAAAAAATAACAGAAATCAGTTATTTAGTTGACAAAATTAACTTAAAATGTTGCTTTGCAGTAACCTATTATATAAAATTAAAAAAGGGGTAATTTCGCTTTAAATACTTTCACTTTGAAATAACTTTATTTAGTAAATCATTCAGTCTCCAAGTATAAAAATAAAAAATAAAAATGATCCTTCTGTTATTTAGATTGGAAAAGTCTGCACAAAATATAGATCAACAAAATCCACCACAAAAACTAAAGTGCAGGTGCAGTTTCCCAAAATAGGTAAATAAACTGAAGCTTAAGATCTGTTGAGTATAAATATAACATACAACAAAATATATGTTGTCTTTAAATGAGCTATAACTTCCACAAGTTGTCACAAGGTGTTTCATCTAACCCTGAAGCTTGTGGAGTTTCAGCTTCCTCTGTTCCTGCAGGAATGATTAATTTCTCTGATGCTCTGTCTTTCATCACCCGACCCTGTTCTTGGTCCATGGACTGTGGAATTTACCTGCGCGTGTTTGTACCGGCAGTTTAGAGCGGGGGAGACGCAGCCCGCACCGGCAGCCCAGAGCGGGATGCGGAGAGAAAAAAAAAAAAAGATGAGTGGCAGCTTAAAGCGGGGGAAGGGAGAGACAGTTGAGTTGTCTGTACCTGCAGTTTAGAGCTGGATGAAGAGAAAGCTGAGCCGCGCATTGCTTGTTTTTTAGCTTTTTAGCTAGATAGTATTGCGCGCAACTAATTAGTGTTACACCAGTACCGACAGGTGGAGGGGGTGTGCACAGCTCGGTTTGGTCGTTCGGCGCACTCTGTTTTGTAAACTGGGCGGGGCGCCCTGATGTCATACGTCATAAAATTAGCATATCATGATATCATTTAATTGCCCGGGCAAGGTGTTTTTACCGGTATTATTGTGAACAATATGATATGGCCTAGCCCTACGCTAAACAAAAACAATGTAAAATAATATGGTGTATTATACTGTATTGTGTGGTGGTATATAACTAAGGAGTCAAAAGAGTCCTTGACATCATCACTCCTCACCTTTGACCCAGCTCTGTCTGTGGCATCATCAATTTCTGTAAAATTCACATTTTTTCTTATTTCAGCAAATATTTATGTTAATTTTAGATTTTGTTTGTACTAATTCCACATTTTTGCGTTCATTTCAATTCAATTCAATTCAATTCAAAAATACTTTATTAATCCCAAAGGGAAATTATTTTGTTGTTGTAACTCGTTATCCTCATTTCATTAAGAGATGTTATAGATGCTGATGGCTGTAGGCAGGAAGGATCACTTGTAAAGATCCATCCCACAGTGGATCCTAAGAAACTGGCTGCAGATGCCGTACGATCTGTCCACCCAGACTCGGCTGGCCTCTTGGTTCCCCTGGACTGTAGGACCGCTTGAATGCTGGGCAGAACTCCTCCCAGAGCAATGGCCACTCCTCCCATAAGTCTGCCAAGCTCCTCCTTGCTGTGGACAGCCAACTGTAGGTGCTGAGGGACGATCCTGTCCTTCCACTGTCATGAGCCGTGTTTCCTGCTAGTTCCAGGATCTCAGTGGTCAGGCACTCGAGCACAGCTGGCAGGTAGATGAGAATGCGTCCATAGAACATCCTTTTCAACTCATTTGAGAGTTGGGGCCATAGTTGAGATATTATTTCAGCTTTTGAGATGTTAATCAGCTGCTGTTGGTTGTAGAAAACTGCCTTGTTGCCATGGTTACGCATCATAACAAATGTCCAAAACTAAAAAAGTTTCAGTAAAAATCCTTCCAGCTGCACACCATCCAATACCAGAGGAAACAATCATTTAAAAAATGTGATTTACATCCAGAAAAAGAAGAATTAAAGTTTCCAAAAGCAAAATCTCAGAATGAAAGTAACAGAGCTGCTCCAACATGCAGCCACCTTGAGCGGCGCAATTCTAGAACTTTAAACTTAAATTCTTAAATTCTTAAAACTTAAATTCTTTAAACTTTTTTTTAGCATAATTCAACAAAAATGTGCTCTCTCCACTGTCCCACCAATGTTTTAATGCTCTCGGAACAGGAAACGTTTCAAACTGTGAGGATCAAACGTTCAGTCGGAACTTCTATGATTCTGAGATCAAAGGAGTCCTTGGCATCATCAGAAAGCTGTGCTGTGTGATGTCATCACTCCTCACCTCTGACGCAGCTCTGTCTGCAACAAAATCATCATCAATTTCTGCAAAATTAACATTTTTCTGCTATTTTAGCAAATATTTTGCTGTATTTATGTTAATTTTAGATTCTTTTCCCAACTAGTTCCACATTTTTGCACTTATTTAAACTTTTTGTAGCACATAATTCAACAAATTCAATTCAATTCAATTCAAAAATACTTTATTAATACAAGAGGGAAAGTAAAAATGTGCTCTCTCCACTTCCTTCTGCTAACTTAAGCTTGTTCTACATTTTCAGCTGGCTCCTGACGTCGCAAAGTGGCAAAAATGTCTCTTTTCATCGTTGCAGACCCCTGACCTAGAACTTTCTAAAAGCTGAATCGCTCTTAGGCCCTGTACACACGTAGCCTGGTGTTTGAAAAAACGAATATCCGCGCAAAAAAATATCGCCGTACATACATGTTCAGATAGAGAAAATGATCGTCTACATGAACCCGGTGATGTTCACCACAGAGCGTTGTAAAGAATATGCCCAACCCATAGGAGGCAGTGTAGTGCAAAGGTGAAACGTATATCAGCCAATCACAACCCTTCAAAGCAACCACAACTTCCTGTTAGTATTGAATCATGGCGCCTGGAGGTTCGTTTGTGTGGACAGACCGCGAGGTTGAACTACTATTAAATACCGTGTTGGAGTACAAAGTTAATAAAACTCAGGAAAATGTCGACTGGGAATCCTGTCAGAACAAGTATGTTGATATTTTAGCGCTTTTTTTAGAGCATTACCCAACGGAGTCCTCCGACGAGTTTCCCCATTCACATGCCGACATCACGCGCGGGAATTTAACAACAAAAATGAAAGCAGTCCGAGGTAAATATCGCCATGCTGTTGATACAGGACGCAGGAGTGGACACGGTCGAGTGGTTCTTCTGTACTTCGAACTGTGCGAACAAATCTGGGGTGGCTCTCCAGCTAGTACTACCATATCCTCCGGTATTGAAACAGCTGACCTGGATCATTCTCGGACCCTACCCTCACCATCCACATCTTCTTCCTCCACTACCATGGATGTAGCAGACACAGGGTCTGATAATGAAAGCAGTGTGGGTCCTACTTCAAAGGAGAGGAGAGACCTGCTTGATGTACGTATATTTTTCTGTCCATTCCTCATAAATAAAAGTACTTTTGCTGTAAATGTTCATCTGTTGGATGTACTATAATTCACGGAACAGGTTTGTTGAATTGTGTTGCTATTAAAAATACAGTTAAGGCAATATGTGTGTTAAAAATGATGCAAGAGTTGAGGTGTGTAGTGGAGGCTGGAATGTGATGTTTTTTATATTTTACTGTGTACGGGTTGCTGATTTATTTTTATTATTATTGCAAAAAAGAAATGACACCATCATGCTCTTACTCATCTCATATTATGTTAGGCCTACATATTCATTAGTTTGATGGGGTGGTGGGTACAAAATACACTTTAAGACATATAGCAAACATTGGATACGCTGTTATTACATATTGTTATGTAGAAGTGATGTGAAAAGTACAACATCAACATGATCCAGGTTTACTTTTTTATGTTTAATTGTGATGATTTTCATTTCTCTTTTGAAGGCAAAACTAAAAGGACACAGACACGACCGTCTGAGGAGAAAGCTGCCTGCTGAGACCCAGTGGCTGAATGCTCTTGAGGAAGACCAGCGTGTGAAAAAGAGACTGGTGGAAATCATTGAGACATCAGAACAAAAAGCATCCGAAAACTATTCAAAAATGTCCAATACACTGGAAAGACTTACCATATCGATTGTTGATGGGTTTTCTCTTCTTAAACAGGTCATTCATACACCTGCACAACCACCACACTACATGCCATATGAGCCAAGAGGTCCGATGTATTCGCACACAATGGCCCACCATTCTGTCCACCAAAACTCAGCAAATTACCCATACCCAAACAACTCCACTTCTGACAGAACACGTCAAAACACAAGACCAGGAAACACTATGAACACTGAAGCTGTGTTCCACACACCTGCTGAAGCCACTGACCAATTTTCATTCAGTCAGGCCCTTTTTAGTGACCAGTAGAGTACTGTTTTATACATCGAAACAAGTCTGGTACAGTTAAGTATATACAAGTTCCACTTTTGCACAAGGTTGCACACATGTCAGGTTGTTAATCACAGTGTTATTTACTCTGACAGTGGGTTTTTTTCTGTTTGCTATCTTTTTATACATACTGTGAAAAGCTTAAAATGTAGCAATTGCACAATACTTTAACTATTTACATTTTTGTTACGTGAATCTTTATAAGAGTGGTGATCTAGTCCAGTCCTTGGGAGCTACTGCTACTTAGATGTATTTATTTCTCCAAAACACCACTATCAAATACATACTGATGATTGAAATCAGCTATTTCATACTGGTTTGTTGAAGAAAATGCAGCTGAAATGTACCTGTGGTAGCTCCCAAGTTATGGACTTGGGCATCACTGATTTAAAAGTGTACAGTAACTGTGCTGCTTTTCTCCCATGTTTAAAAAGCTTTATCTGTTGTAGATCTGTTATAATCTGATCTGTTCATAAATGAAACACAAAATAAGAACATGTTAAGTGTGTTCGTTTGAATAAATTGACAAACATTTTAAAAGCAAGTTTCTTTATGTGAATTTTTGTGAATATGACATTTATCAGTTACAAATACAGTCATGTTCATCAGAAAGTATTGGCAGCACTATTTAATACACTACAGGTCCAATTTTAAGAGAGAAAAGTAAAATCATTTCACTTAAAAGTCTGTCTAATGAGCTACAAACTATTATATAATGTATCTAAATCCTGGGTGGTAGCTTTTCATGCATTAAGAGAATGAAATGCAATAACATTGCACAAAACAATTTAAAAATTCTCTAACATACATGGTGCTAACTATAACATTTTTTTATGAAAAAACAACGCAGTCTGCTAAATAGTTCACAGGTTTTTGTGTTTATGGATCCAGACACTGAGTGAGGACTCTCCTGACCCGCTTTCCTTCTGCTGCCAAGCTGTCTCCTCTGACCACTGGCTGTGTGTCCGGTTGATTGTTCCTGTCATGTTGAATAGCTTCAGTTATTCTGTTTTCATCCACAGTGTCTTTTGATGCCTCACAAAAAATTGTGCAACACAAAACATGCATATATAACAAATGGAAGATCATTCATATTGATGTCCATGGCTCTCCTCAGGGCTCCAAATCGGGCTTTTAGTCTTCCAAACGCACATTCAATCACCATTCTAGCTCGGCACAACGAAAGTCCAAAGTACTGCTCCTGAACATTGCTTCCTCCGTTAGCATATTCTTTCATCAGGTAAGGTAGAAGTGGGTATGCAGGGTCACCCAGTATGTAAATGGGTATAGCGTCTTCGTTCTCCACAATTTGTCTTGGACAGGGGGGAATCTTCATGTTTTTCAGATTTGTGTTTATTGTGGAGTTAGCAAAAACTCTGGCATCATGCACACTCCCTGGCCATTTCACAACTACATCAATAAAGCTGTACTTGTAATCACAGGTGGCTTGTATGTTAAGAGAAAACCTCCCCTTCCTATTTAGGTACTCTGTAGAATTAGCTGATGGCTGCTTTATCTCCACATGAGTCCCATCCACAGCTCCAAGGCACTGAGGGAGACCATAAGCCTGCTCAAATCCCTCAACAAGTGCACGCACAGCAGTCTCTGTTGTTGGCATTTTTATGTAAGATGGTCCCAAGTACACAGTTATAGCCTTACACACCTCTCTAATTATGTTTGAGACTACCTGTCTTGATAAGCCAAATGCATTGGCCGTTTTACGCAGTCTTCCCTCGTCAGCCAAATAATATAGCGTGCATGCAACTTTTTTGACCACACAGACTGGAGATCGCATTACAGTACTCTTCCCTTGAATGTAAGGAAGGAGTAACTCCGAGAGCGACAGTAATGACGACCGTGACATTCTGAAGTTCTCACGCCATTCCTGTGGGAGAACAATTTCCTTC